CAGTCAACACTCCCTGAGCAGCTACTTTTTCAGAAAACAGAAGAGCAACTAGTATATCTGTTTGTTGTAGTAGTAGTAGTAGTAGGAGGTATTTATAGGTAGGCAAACTGAATCCTGGGAGGGAATGAACAATAAAAACTACTATATAGAATGGTAATTACAGAATGCAAATGCATTTAATAGCTAATGCTAACCTTAAATTGTTTCAAAAATGGGGTTTGATTTCATGAAACAAACAAAATCCTATTCACCTTCGTTGCACTGAGGTGGCAGAATGAATCAAAGAGGTGGTCATCTGCATGATTACATAGAAGTTAAGTAAGAAGTAATTTTGTTGAACTGCCCATTTAAAAATGTTCCAGCAGAAGCTCTATTAATGTTTCCATTATCCGAGATTTATACTGTTGAAGTAGGAAGTTTACATAAGCTTGGGTTGAAGTCATTTTTTAACCGCTCTACATGTGATTTCATGTGAACAAATTATAGTTTTGTTAAGTCTGTTAGGATATCTACCTTGTGTGTGACAAATCATTATTCCCAAAATTGTTTACAGACAGATTATTTCACTTACAATTCACATTATCACACCTCCAGTGGGCCAGACATTTAAGTTGACTGTGCCTTTAAACAGCTTGGGAAATTCCAGGAAATCAAAATAATTTGTTTAGAAGCTTCTGAGAGGCTAACTGACATCACTTGAATCAATTGGAGGTGTACCTGTGGATGTATTTTAAGGCCTGCCTTCAGACTCTGTGCCTCACTGCTTGGCATTATGTGAAAATCAAAAGAAATCAACCACCACCACGTACAAAAAACTGTGCTACTCTACAAGTCTGGTTTATCCTTGGGAGCAATTTCCTATCACCTGAATGTATGCATTCAGGTGATAGGAAATTGCTCTGTTCATCTGTACAAACAATAGTCCCCAAGTATAAACACAATGGGACCATGCAGCTGTCTTGTTCAGGAAGGACACATGTTATCCTAGAGATGAACGTACTTTAGCGCAAAAAGTGCAAATCAATCCCAGAACAACAGCAAAGGACCTTGTGAAGCTGCTGGAGGAAACACAATAAAAAATCAAATGTTGACAAAACCTGAAAGGCCGCTCAACAAGAAGAAGCCACTGCTCCAAAACTGCCATAAAAACAGACTACTTTCTGTAACTGCACATGGGGACAAAGATCTTGCTTTTGGACAATTCTCCCTTGGTCTGATGAAACACAAATAGAACTGTTTAGCCGTAATGACCATCGTAATATTGGGTGGAAAAAGCGTGAAGCTTGTAAGCCAAAGAACACCATTCTGAAAGTGAAGCATGGAGGCGGCAGCATCATGTTTTGGGGATGCTTTGCTGAAAAAGAGACTTGTGCACTTCACAAAATAGATGGCATCACGAGGAAGGAAAATTATAGGATCTATTGAAGCCTCATCTCTAGACATCAGCCAGGAAGTTAAAGCTTGGTCACAAATGGGTCTTCCAAATGGACAGCAACCCCGAGCATAATTTCAAAGTTGAGGCAAAATAGCTTAAGAGCAACAAAATTAAGGTATTGGAGTGGCCATCACAAAACCCTGAAATCGATCCAACCCTGAAATAGCGTGTGTGAGGTGAGTAAGGAGGCCTACAAACCTGAGTTGAGTCAGTTCTGTCAGGAAGAATGGGCCACAATTCCAGCAAGTTATTGTGATATACCTAAAACGTTACACCCAAGTTAGACTATTTAAAGGCAATGCTACCAAATACTAACTGAGCCACTGAGAATGTGATGAAAGAAATAAAAGTTGAAATAAACTATTCCCCCTACTATTATTCTGACATTCACATTGTTAAAATAACTGAAGACAGGGAGTGTTCACTTGAATTAAATGTCAAGAAATGTGAAAAACTGTGTTTAAATGTATTTGTTTAAGGAATATGTAAACTTCCAAGTTCAACAATAACTCATTCAGTGTGGTTGTCAACAATAATCTCTTACACTTAATTAAAAATATTATATTGGATGGTGCGGTCCGTAAAACAATAATAAAAGAAAAGATACGGATATGGTGAGGATGAATGATGTAGTTCCCCTTTATACAGTTTATGAGTCTATAACTCAGTCAAACAGTTCATTGTGCCTTGTCTTTACAATGTGTTGGTGTGAACAAAGTAAGTATTTTCTCAGTATTCATTTCAACAGTAACTTAAATTCTGCTGCAGTCGACTTCAAAGATGCTCTCTTATCGTCCTAAACAGATGGGCGAACGTCCTTCTGTGTAGCAGAGTGGGGTCTGTTTATTTCCCTCCAACTTATCCAACATTTCTGCCTTTAAAAAAGCTCTCAGCATCACTGTTTTTGTGGAGGGGACAACAAAGTAAATGACAGCATCCATCTAGAGAGGCTTAAACCCCCATCCACCAACCAGTCCCTGAAGGCTTTTTCTTGTATACTGCAAACCTGAATTTATGTGTGCAATTTCTTGTGTGCAAGTCTCTATTACACCATAGAACAAAAGTACAAGAGTCTTGTACTTTTGTTCTTTGGTGTAATAGATGAATTACATCATCACATGGGTGAGTCAGGATTTGGATTAAAAAATTTTTCAAATCTTAAAACTGAAGGTGATCTAAATTCACAACACACATAGAGAGAATAATTACAGCAACTTATGGCTGGTCTTGGGAATTTGTGTATTGGACTTATTTTATTGAATATCTGCTGGATTATACTTGTGTTTTGAATTTGTACCAACAGTAACAAGTATCTGTTAATTTTTAGTCAGTAAGCCTATTTTTAGAGGGCTAATTGTCTTTTTATGGAGATTTTTTTTCTTGTCTTCTTAGAAAGCTTGGGCTGAGAAACTATGGATATCATATGTCTGGAAAGCCCACTGAGACACTGTCTTCCACTTCTTAGGCTATTTCTACTGTATAATTCCGACACATCCACTTGATTCAACACAAGTTACATTTACCATTTGCTGTCTCTAATTTTTATAAATAATTTAAAGGATTTTAAATTTTTGGCTGCTTGTCAGACCAAGTAAGCAATTTTAAGGCACTTTGGTTTTGGTTCCAGCACTTTAAATGATTCCAATGATGGAGCTGTAGTTTTGACTGACTGATTAATAGTCATGTATTGCCACTGGTAATGGGTGGTGGAAGAAATATTCAGGTCTTTTACTCAAGTAAAAGTAGCAATTCTACATTGTAAAAATACTCCATTATAAATAAAAGTCCTGTGTTCAAAGTCTTTAGTGTTACAATTTTTTTTATATCCTGCAGATAAATGGCATCTGGCATTAATGTCAGAGCTACATTTTAACATTGTAGCTGGTGGTGGTAGTCATGTAGTGTTGGATAGTTTCATCTGTAACATTGCATTATGTTTTATATCAGTGTTGGAAAGTAACTAAGAACATTCAAGTATTGTAGTTAAGTACAAGTTTGAGGTACCTGTAATTCCATTCTTTGCTTCTTTATACTTCTTCACTACATTTTGGAAGCAAATATTGTACTTTTCACTCCACTACATTTATCTGGCAGACTTAGTTATTGCTGTAGTTAATTTGCTGATACAGCTAATATATTATGATGCATTTTATATAAATTAAGCTAGCCAGCTGCAACAATAAAGTGATGCTTACACATTTAAAACCATCCCTAGTTATAATCCAATAACAGGATATAAATGTTTCTGAAATGGTACTTTTAATATACTTCAATATGTTGATGCTAATCACTACTTTAATACATTTACTTACTGAATCCAGGATTTTACTTGTAATAGAGTATTTCTATACAGTATTGTTACTTTTACTTAAGGGGAATATCTGAGTGTCTTCCAGCACTGTTTTTATATGATCTATTATGTGTGTAAAATCTGCAAAGTAATCAGTAACTATGAATGTAAAATATATAAAAAAATTTCCCTCTGAACAGTAGTTGAGTGGAACTATGAAGTAGCATCAAATAGAAATACTCAAATATGCTAAGTACCTAAGCATTGTCCTTAAGTGAAGAACTTGAAGTTATATTTCACCATTGGTAATTATTTCCATTATCGGTATCATCATCATCACATTGTGAATATAGTGAATACTGAATATATTGAATATTGATGATCAACTGAAATATCCGATTATCAGTGATGGATGAAAATAATCAGTTTTGTGCTGCAATAAATTGTTTTCTCATTTGAACACACCTAGGGCGTCACTTTGTGTTGAAAAGTGGTGGGGACATAAATGCTCAGTTTAGGGACCTGATGACACAAGTGCGTCAGGAGACTAAGATGAAAACAAGATGAGAAGATGTTCAACACGATTTTGAAGAAATATGAAATGCTGAAACAGATGAGTGTGGGGTCTAGGGGTCCTCCCTCAGAAGACTTTGAGCATTAAACACTTAATTTCTTGCATTCTGGAGACATTTTCTGCTCCAGTTTAGCTTTGAAGTGACTTTATTTATATAAAGAGAAATTCAACTGGCCGGTGACAAATCATAAATATAAAAATATAACAGAATACAATTCTGTAATCAACTGATTATTTATTTATTTATTTATTTATTTTAGCTTAAGTTACTATTTTGGACAATGCACATTTGTTTCACCTGTATTTAAATTGCGTTGAATGTTTTCTCATTGTCCCCGCGACCCTGTACGCAGGATAAGCTGTTGACGATGGATGGATGGATGGATGGTATTCTCATCGTGCAAGTAAGAAATGCTTTAAAAAGTGTTGGGGATAAAATCTGCCATTTCAAAATGTAAATGGCTGCTACGGAACACAGCCACACGCCCGGTGTCAGTTGAACACATCCCGAGTTTTCAGCAGCTGGCTATTAAACGGTGCCACAGCCGGACTGTGGAGCTGTAGCTGCGAGGGTTCAGTATTACGGCTGAAGTCCTCTTGGTGACGCTCTGCTGACATCACTCTGATATTACCCGCTCAGCTCTCCGCATCAGACACACGGAGCTCTACTATCTCATACACTTCCTCCACACCACTTTGTTTCCTTTCACTCCGCTCGCCGTGGCCCAGACGCACCATCACACACAACCAGCCGCGGGCTACCTGTGCGCACTGCGGCCAGCCCGGGGAGGAGTTTGACTCCTCCTGTCATTAACAGATCCAAAGGAAGAGAGAGGGAGAGAGAGAGAGAGAGAGAAACTAAACACGGTCCACACTGAAGAGAGGGGCAGACACACAGAGACGGGGGGAAAGAGAAGCCGTAAATTGGCTGATTCCAATCCAGGCTGTCTGAACTGAACTCGAAGTTTCTTGGCTGAGCGGGGAAGGAATAATTTGGAGCCCGTTAGCCCCACACAGAGCTGTTGTGGATATTAACGTCCACCTTGTGTCCGGTTTAGAAGAATGGCGAGAGATTACGCAGGACGTTGCCCGGTCTCTCCGGTGAGAAACACTTGGCTTGTGGCGGCATCGATCCTCCTCGCAGCCCAAGGTAAGACGACCCGAGCTGCGTTCACATAAACACCAAAGCCTCATCGGGCTTTGCCCCCGAATGTGGGCAACTCTCAGCACTTCCAGCCGCGCCTCCTGCGCCCTGGGAGCGCTGTTCGTTTCACTGAGTCACGTCTCTCTCTCGTATCTGGCTGCTGTTTGGTGGACTGAGATAACAGTTGTTAAAGTTTATTGTCGAAGCACACTGCCAAATCTGTGTGGACTTTCGGTTCGCCATGACGTGAGGTGTGGCTTTCCTGGTTTGTGGTTTTTGTCCTAAATCCTCGCGGCTTCAGACGGCAGGTGACTGTTAGGAAACCTAATCCCCTCTGAGCCTCTACAAACCCTTCTAACACAACTGACCTGTAATCTGTGTTTATCTTACCTGTTGGAAAGTGTAACCATAAGAATAAAGGCAGAAAGTGGTCCTTATTCAGCAGAGCAACAGGGTGGCTGGTTCGGCAGGGAATGAGAAGTGCTCGGCTCCTGCTCTTCAGGTGGCTCTTGAACAATGAGCATTGAGAGTGCTTAATGAAAATCCACTACAGTAATGCTATCATTAAATACAGGCGCTATAAACTAATTACACATACAGGCAGGAACAAATTAAAGGAAAATCCTGAATAAAAGAGTGGAGAAACTATCAAATGCAGTTTTTTCCCCGTGCAATAGGGCTCACTGAATAGTGAGTAATAGCAATAAAGTGAATAAATCATTCAACAGATCTCAAACCAGTTTCACACCTATGAAAATTTTGTAACAACATGTAAGACAATGCTCTACACCACCGTCATCACCATATAACCTAATTAGCCTATGTAATATAAACTTTCATTTTCAAATCTATTTAGTGATGTCTGTGACTCTCTCTGGTGCTAAATGTCCTTTTGTTATGTCTGGCTATATTTGTTTTTCTTTCTCTCTGCTGTACTCTTTGTGTGTGTGTGTGTGTGTGTGTGTGTGTATAAATGAGGGATGTCATGTGGAGGAATGGTGTTCATCCCTCCAGTAGACTTCCACAGACTTGGCAAGGAGCACTGACGCTGTTCTGGAGGCTCGTAGTGGCCTGACCCCACACTATTGAACATTAAAGCACTATTAATTAACATTAGCAGAATAAAAGCACACATACAACAAATCATTTGCAAATGCATACTCTGCATGCTCTACAGATGTATCCATGATAAGCCAATATTGACTGATAGCATGAGAATGTGGTTATCATCTGAGCTCTACTGTAAATCTACTGTCAAGTGATGCAAGCACAATGCAAGACACTGTATAAATAAGAGATCATAATACCACATTTATGCCAGGTTACTTATGAGTAACAGAATGCCCAATGTACACAAAATCCCTCTTGCAGCTGTGTTGCCAATTATTGTAACACCGTTGTGATTTAAATACATTACATTAAAAATGTTTCTTATGATTAATATTGATACTCAATGCGTTACCACAAACGCCATTAATAAGTTAACTCTAATATCTCTAATGTAGACACTTACATACTGTACACTGAGAAAATATTATACCATAAACAAAAAGTGGTATCAGATAACTTCCTGGTAATAGCCATACTTTATATCCCTAAAAGAATATTACAGTGATAGAAATGGAGATAACAGCAAGCTATGATAACATCACTAAAACTGCTGAGTAACACAGACAGAAACATTCCCCCCCCCCAACTTGGACCAGCTACAAAATTCATCAACAGCAGGCAGTCAGGCTACATAAAAGTGATCGGTATAAAAATCTGTGAACCCTCTCTGTCAGCACGAATCTGTCAGCGTATTGTTTTCACCTGTGTGTAACTAGTATCATCTATCAGAGCTGTCCCAAAATTGTCACCAAGGAAAAAGAAGATGGGTCATTATGGAACTGGGAGATATGTTGTCTCGTGCGTTGACACGCCTTGGAGACATTCCTGTGAGATCAAAGCAAATGGGAGGGCAAATTAGTTCAAGGCCTGGAGCCACAGCGACTGTGCATTTGCCTTTTGCTCTACCATCTGTTGCTTAATATGTGACAATGTGAACTGTGATTTTGATTGAGCGCACAAGATGGGAGGAAGATTTTACAGTAATTGGAATTTGCTTTGCATTGACAATCTTTCTCTCCGTGCATATAGCACATAGAGCAATGTAAGCCACAAGAACAGGAAAACCCCAGTGTAACGGCACAAAAACAAGGACTATGGTGTTTGAGACCCCAGTGCTGTAAGCCATGCAACACAGGTTGGTGTGAGGATGACAGATACTCAGCTGAGACTCTGCAACATCAGGCCTGTATTGTTAAAAAGCTGTCAGATTGTCATGACAGTATCCCCACAGGTTATGAATTAATTTTAACGTGAAGCAACACGACTGTCTTCTCGGAAGTAAAAACCTCCACACTCAGATTTCAGCTACTTAGCCAGTGAGTTACTGATACTGAATGCAAAAGCAGAAGCTAGATTTTTAAAGATTGTCCTGGCATATAAGATTATTAAAGGAAGCCGTTTAAGGGCAGGTTGTATGTGTAGACTGATGATGTGTTTTTATATTATGCAGGAAAGTGCTCTGAAAAAGGGGTCAATGGCAGCGGTGAAACTTCAACTGTGATGTTACAAGAACCATTTTAACCTTAAGTAAAACAGGAAAAATAGAGTTGAGAGGATATCATTCCATAGCAATGATAACTAAGTCACTGCAGGTGTCCTACCCCCACACCTCCCCATCTCTCCTCCTGTGTCTCTATGGGCCCGATCCTGTACTGAAATGTCAATGATGATGAGTCCCCTCGATGGCTCGGTGGAGACGAAGGGCTGATTAGCTTATCACTTGGAGAGCAGGCGGCCGATGATTATCGCCCTCAAAGCAACGCGGCCTGATTATCGAGAGCTCTTATTAATGACTCATCTTCTGCCGTGCATTGCGCCATGTAGCTGTTTGTTGTTTGCATATTTGTGTAGGCAGTGCTGCAGCTCCGACACGGATCTGTTTTTGGTGTCCTCCATTTGGGAACCAGTGCAGAAGAAGGTTGTGATGAAGAAGTCTTGGAAGCAATCACTGGCCGCCTTAGCAGCTTTGAGCATGAAACTCCACCTGCTTTAGTCTGCCACTGGTGGGTTAGCAGGCAAAAAGACAAACTTTATAGTAATAAATTATCTACTGGTGTAGCATCTGCTGTATTTTAAATAAAAAATCTACTGCTGTAATTAAAAAACACACAAAATTTCTAAACAAGCATAGAGTTTTAAAAAATCATCTGTGTGCTACCCTGGGCAGCCATTGGTGTGCTTTTGGCCTTTGGGGCAGGAGCATAGTTCTTCAAAATTTTCTCTTTGCAGGATGTTTTAGTTGATTTATTATTGGAACAAGCCTAGAGGCTGAAACTCTCCCATTACTTTAACAGCAAAGGGCAGTTTGAACAAAATGCCATTAATCTTCTCAGTTTAACGAACAGATTGTTCTCACTTTGAATAAATCTTTTATATTTTAACCCTGCACAGTCACTTGACCCTGGGGTTGATTTTGAGCTTTCACCATCTTCAAAAAGCAATCTGTGGCACAGAGGTCCCATCCCCATTGTGGCGGTTGGCAGATAGACTAAATGTCAAGGAGTTTGTCTCAAGAGAAGTGATCTTGTGTGTGAGAGGGTTGAAGGAGAGGTTGTCGTCGTTGCCTTGAGAGTTGATCATATGTAGAAAAGTCAATGACAGTGTTAAGCAGCTGGATGCTTTGCAAAAGCCTATTTGTAGTGGTTTAATAATATATTTTAACATGTAACATTTTTTGTATTTTGGTTGTGGGCTTTGCAAGCTGTATTTATAAGACGTTATCTCAAGTTAGCGTGCTTTACCGACTTGAGATAAACATCACTGGCAAATGCCATAGAATAATGAAAACAATATTGCAATAAGAAAAAGTAAGTGTAAAGAGGTACAAGTCATTCCTACTGAATATGATTATGCCTGTTTAATGAAATCATAATGATGAGCCTCATAAACTGACACCCACCGTATTAAAAAACCAGGCTGCTGTTATATGGGAGACCAGAATTGAGCTCTTTGGGTTCTGACCTGCAGTTTAAGCCGTGTTTGCCCCAGACTCAAATGCCAATAGCTCTTCCTGGTGAGGCATGGAGTGATAATCATCCTCTCGAGAACAGACCGTTGATTCTCATTGAAAGCTTATTAATGACTCACACAAACACAAACTGCATAGTAATGCTGGGGGCTGTTAGTGTTTTGGCCAATTTGTTTGTCATTGTCTGGGCTGCCATGTGTGGTGGTGATTCTTACCCAGAAAAGCGCAATGTCAGTTCCTCCTGCTGTGAGAAAGAAGTGTTTCCTCTTAATTATAGCATTTTCACAGATTAATTGATAGACTTTGGGGGTGTTGCATCACATGTGCTGTGATTTGTTTATTAGCGTTAATGTTTAAGTTCATCTTAAGTTTGAATATTTGCCTCTGGGTTATCTTATTGATCAAGGATTCAAATGTTAATTACTTCCCACAATTCTTTGTGGGCTAATGAATGATGGACTATTAACGTTGTATTGCAGGGTCTTGCATAATGCTGTTTGCTTGTTTTGTACAATCGAAGAAGTAGTTTTAATGCTCTTCTCTCTAAAATTCCCATTGCAGCTAGTACGGCCGGAGGTGGAGGTCGGCTTGGTTGGTCACTTTCAGAGATTAGGAAGTGGTTGTCATGGATACGGCTTTTGTGGATGAGACAATTTCACATCTCTTTGTTGTGCAACTACGTGTGTTGTGTGTGTATGTCTTTGATCCAAAGAACCAGGCTGTAATTAGGGGGAAGAGGTTGGACTCTGGGTTGCTGTAAGAAGGCCCATCAGTCCAGCTTGCTGAGAATCCAGGAAACCCGGTTTTAATTCATCTCTCCGCTTGCCAAGAGCTAGCAAGTATGTGTCTGCACTCGGTCAGCGTTTTTTTTTTCATTCCACTTCTGAGGAAACCGGTTACTAAGCAAATTCCAGATCACATTTCTAGA